ATGAACGAGCTGTTTGCAGGTCTAAATCTAGAAGCACCGTGGCCGCCGGGAAATTTCCAACAAGGGAGGGAAACAACAAGACTTGCCATTGTTGCGATGATGGAGAGGCGTAATCAGATAATGAACTACATTATTGGGGTAACTGTTTTTTTGCAAATAGATTACTACAATTTTTGGCCAATTTAAAGGTAATTAACTATTTTTTACCATATCTTTTATAGGAAAATAATGTCCAACATCTCCAACGTGCCATCAATGAATTAAACGAAATGCTTGTAGTTACCGAGCCAGCTGTTATTGCTCCACCTGGGAATTAGGAGGCAAAGCAAATTCGAGATATCTATCTATCATCTACCTACTGTTTTCATATGGTTTTGTATCAATCTCGACTGTTGTGTATGGATTACTCTACTCTCTTTTATGTATTAGTACTCTTTCTTTGAATTCTCTCCGGTTGATTTGTTTCCTTCTTAAACCGTATTTTTATCTATCTTGTTAATGTTCCACTTTTATTGGGTTTCTGCTGTTGAATTCACTAGGTTTCGACTGCCATGGCTGCTCCGATTTTCTCTACTTTGTTTCAGCCTTATGTCTATCAGGTTCTCTTCCTTTGAGTTTCGACTGTGTTTCTGCCCTACTCTTTTCTCAAATGTACTTCTTTTGGGGTCCTTCCTTGTAGGTCGTGTTAGTACTTCCTTTTCGATTCAACCTAGTTCAGTTTTCATTGTTACGTTCTTTGATAACCACGGTTGTTTCTCAGATGCTAATTTGCTATAGACTTGTATGCATAAACCATTTTTTCGGAGTAGCATGTTAGGATAATGCACCTTTTCTTAAATTTGTGTGATTGTTTACATTGGAACTTCGTCGACAGAAGAGGAGGATAAGATTTTTTACTCGGAAAGAGCTGCTCACTACACAAAGATAAAACAGGGACATTTTTTCGCAAGTGTACATTATAGACAATAGGTTTCATGTATGTCAATATCTCGTATGCGTACATTATATA